TCTGCAGCTTCAACCTCCACACCTTGCCAAGCTGTGCCTCCTCTGAGCTGCTCCCGAGCCAGGAGGAGCCCCTGGAGCCCTGCAGGCTCTGCTCGGCCTCACATTGCACTCCAGGTGCCAAGTTTGTGCACAAAGTAAATTAAAAACGAAAAAAAAAAAATCTTTAAAGCTATTGTAAGCAGCAGGGAATGCAGGTGACAAGGGACAAAGTGACTCTTCCTAGCACAAGGATTTTGTCTTCCCTGAACGGTGCTGGCTTCAAAGTGGGGATTTAGTCTGGCTCAGCCTCTCCCATGCCAGAGGTTAAGCCAGGTCTAACCACGACCCTTAGCTGTCACAGCCACCTTAAAGAGGGAGGGAAGCGTGGCCAGCTCCTTGGAAAGGGACCAGAGAGAGCAGTGGAGCCTCTTTGGGAGGCTGGTGGTGTCCCCTGGCTGGTGCCTCATGGAGGATCAGATAACCCAGGAGTTTCCCAGGTGACACCAGGGCTCCGTTTGCTCTGCTGTCCCCTTTGGATCCCCCTGGAGATCGCACAGCTCCCTCCAAGGACAATGGCAGTGGCTCAGCCCTGGGGAAAACGAGATCATTTCCTCCAAAGTCCCTGCTCTTCGTTGCTTTACATGTTCAAATATTGCTGTGCCCAGGGAGAAGCATCTTCAACACTGTCACTTCATCTGATGAATTTTTAAAGGGTTTTAAAGTGACCTCAGGGACTTCCCAGCTCCTGTTCCAGTTTCTCGACCATCTGGCTGCTTCCTGGATTTTCAATATATTCCTGCATTCCTTTCAGCCCTGAGAAAGGGCTGAGAGAACAAAGCTTGTGCTGGTGTGTCCTTGGCCATCCCTGGAGTTGTGCTTTCCATTCTTCCAGCTCGGACTCCCTCAGCCCAGTCTGTGGCAGAGCTGGAAATCTCCACTTTATCCTCATCCCACTTTTCCTTCTTTCTGCCTGCTCTGTTTGACACCACAGGGCTCAGCATCCACCTTGGGACCCTGCCAGGGTGCTCCCAAGCCCTGGGATCCATGGAATTGCAGCTCCATGGGGAAGGCAAACCCAGGATTTTGGCTGGGTGGGACACTCAGGCAGTGCCAAGGATGTTGCTGTTCCATGACTGGGGCTGGAAAACCAGGATGGACTCCCCAGGATGGATTCCTGGGCATCCTTTGGGCTGCACATGGGACAGAGGGGAACAAGGAACCTCTTCTGACCACCCAGGGAGATCCAGGATCAGCAGAAATGGATCCCAGTTCCATCTCATAGATGGATCCTGGAGCTGAACCTTGGATTTAATGGTTGTGTGGGGTTTCATGGGCTCTGAAAGCTTTTTTGGGAAGAGCAGAACAGGGGCTGGTGAGGAATGGGAACCATAGACATGTGAGCAGTGTGGGGATGGCTTTTTTTTTATCCTGATGGAATATTGCTTATGAAAATCTTCTAAATTCCACAAATGTGGCTGTGCTGAGAGGCAGGAGCGAGGCTGGCAGTGCATGATGGGGGTGGGACCTGCTGGGAGCCTGGCACAGTGACTGGAACCTGCCAGGAGACTGTGGGGATGTGTCCACAGACTTGGGCAGGGGCTCTCTGGGGGCTTTCTGGTTCAATGTCAATGCTTTTGTGGGATTTTCATTATATTATTCAAGGAGATTTCGCTACTCCAAATCCTCAGACTTATTTCGTATTGTCCTGGGGTGACTTTGTGATGCCTGTATCCCCAATTGTCTGTTCTGTTGGTGTTGGATATTGAGCTCTGCAGCTTTAACACTGGTTCCAGGAGTGAAGGGGGAGAGCAGAGGTGCAGAGTTTGTTATCACAGACTGCCCTGGCTCCCCCCATCCTTCACACAGCCTGTGCTGTCTGCAGTGCACAGCAGCACACAGCTCTCCTTGGCTCTTGGTTGGTTTTTGGTTACCTGAGGCAGAGAAGTTCCCTGGACTGTGGTTTTTGGTCTTTTTTCCCTTTTTCTTGGAATTGTTCGAACCTACTCTGGACTGGGAAAGAAACCCAAAACCAGGACAGGTTTGCAAGTTGCCCAGTGGAAAACGTGTCTGTGGTGGGGAGCAAAACCCCCAGCCCAGCTCCTGCTCAGGTGAGGTTGGACAGCTCTGGAGAAGGGGCAGGAGCCCCAGTGCTCAAATGAAACCTTTGGAGAGGTCAAACCCTGGCAGTGCCCTGCCCCAGCAGCTGCTGCTGGTGGAGCCCAGGTGTCCCCACGGGGATGGAACCAGCAGCACCACCCCACTCATGGTTTGAGTTTCCCAGGCTCTGGCTGGGCACAGACAAACTGCAGGTTTCTGTGTTTCTGACATCCTGGCTGCGTTCAAAGTGAGCTTGTCCCAGAATCCCAGAATGGCTTGGGTGGGAAGGATCCATCCAGTGCCACCCCTGCCATGGGCAGGGACACCTCCCACTGTCCCAGGCTGCTCCAACCTGGCCCTGATCACATCCAGGGATGGGAATTCCAGCCTGGACCAGTCTGGCTGTGCCGGAGCTGCCCTTTTTTCCCAGACAGGCATCGAGCACCTGCATAATCCCACGAAGGTTTTATAGGTTCCAGCCTCAAGGGCTTTCCCACCCCAGTGCTTTGGAGCTCTCCCACTGCCTGCCCCTCCTGGGCCCCTTTTCGCTGTTTTCTCCCCCTTCCAGGTTTGGGTTTGGCTGCAGGCTCCTGTCTGAGGGTGCTCAGTGTTTCTGAGGCACAGCTACACATCCCTGGGGGCCTCTGGCCCGTTTGGAGCATCCCCTGTTAGAGCTGAGAGGTGCTGGATTCCACAGGCTCTGCAGGGTTCCTGCTGAATGATATTACAGCTTTAAAAAACCTAATATATCTGGGCAGCAGAATTTAATACAGGATTTCTCACTCCAGGGTATCATGGTTCTCCTCCAGCACTAAACACACCACAGGATCCAGGTAGGAGCTGATTTTCAGCTCTTCAGCCCTCAGGGGAGAGGCATTGTCATTTTTTTAATGGTTGTAGAAGCCAAGGCTGTGAAAGTGATTTCAGGAATGCTTGAAATCCATGGTTTGCTGCTATTCCATCCGTGGGTGAGCTCAGGGAGTGCAGGACTGGAGTTTCCTTCAGCCAGGGCTGGGGCAGAGGGTGGCACACCCCAGCCCCTGGACTCACCAAGCTGAGTCTGCCCTGCAAGCTCAGCCCAGGGGGAGACTTAAACCCCTTTCAAGTGATTTGAAAAACCAGTGTAAATGCTTTTAGTTATTCTTGGGGTTGTCCAAGAGTTGGACTCGATCACCCTTGTGGGTCCCTTCTAACCCTGTGATTACCCTGGGGGGTGATTATCCAGAGAATTGGTCACTGCCTGAATGGTTTGTGGTGGGCCTGGAAAGAAATGAAGGTGGTGCAAAGGGCTGGAAGTGTCTCCTGTGCTACCAGAGCTGGCATTGTCTCTGAGTGTCCCCTGGCCAGGTACAACTCCCATTTTAGTGCCTAGCAGGTGTCAGAGGGTGCAACATCTCAGAGTAAACCCAGCAATTGGCAAGGGCTGGGAAATTACAGATGTGCCTAATGAAACAGAGCCCCTTGTTTACGTTTCTAATGTGCTGCTGGAGCAAACTGGCTCCCAAATAAAAATACTTAAAGTTACGATTAGGATTTATTTACATAATTACTGCCAGAGAAATTCCTGGAACGTGCTGAGCAGCGCAAGAGGAGCCTCCTGGCTCTCCCTGTGTGCTTGCCTGTGTCTCCAGGTTGGTTTGCTCCTGGGGGATCTGTCAAAGCTGTTCCCAGCCCAGGGGGGCAGGAAGGCTTTTGTTCCCAAACGAATCTGTCTATATTGTAAATATATAATATTTGGTTTGTTGGCTGTGGTGGGAACACGTGGCTGAGGCAGAGCTGGATCATCGTGCTGGCTGTGGTGCTGGCTGGGGCAGCATCCCGGGGCTGGCACCTCCCTCCTGAGCAGAGCCTGGCACTGGCCTTGGAGGGATCCCCTGCCCTGTGCCCTGAGAGCAGTGGGGCCTTTCAGAGCCACTCCCAGCTTGTCCTGGCCACTCCAGCCCCAGGGAGGCCCTGGCCAGCTCTGGGTGGCTCTGGGGACTCTGCTGATTGATTTCTGCTGGAAATGTGCAGCCCAAAGCACAATAGGCCCGGGATGGGCTCGTGCTGATTGAATCCAGCCCTGGGCATGACAAATCTTCCTCTTAATGTTTCAATTGGCTTTGGCAAACTCGCCTCCTCCTCACGTCCCCTAAATCACAGGGTGAGTGCTGCTGACAGCAATTCCCACTCCTGGCTGGGCTGTGCCTGCTCTTCCCTGAGGTTGGGACCTGTAGGGTTTGCAGACACCTCCCTGCTCCAGCCTCCCATGGAGAGAGACGTTTCCTGAGCTGTCAGATCTGGGAGATGGCAATGTTCTTTGTGGGGCCCTGCTCCAGTGTGGATGTTCTCCTCTCGGTGGGATGTGGGGCTCTGCAGTGACAAACACCTCGCTCAGGGTGGTTGGCTCAGCTCTCTGAGGGGGCTGCATGCTCCCAATGGGGTCTCAGGGGTGTCCAGACCCTTCCATGCCCTTTGGCATTATGTTTGGGGCTGCCCCTGCATCCCTGGCAGTGCCCAAGGCCAGGCTGGAGGGGGCTTGGAGTGCCCTGGGATTGTGGAAGGTGTCCCAGCCCATGCTGGTTCAGGAGGGGCTTTAAGGTCCTCTCCAGCCCAGACACTCCACGATGCTAAAACCTTTTACCTGCAGGTCAGTGCTCTCTGGAATTGTTACCAAGGCTGAAATCCGCATTCTAAGCATTAGGAAATCCTGTTTTCCTAAGGCTCCATTGCTCTGGCTCCCCTCACTCCTCTCCAGCACCCAGAGGCAGCAGCTGCTTTGCTGTTCCTTCAGACGCTGGGTCCGAGCTCAGCCCGGCCCTCTCAGACCCACCTGCAGCCTGGGCTGCTGCTCCAGCCCCTCCTCCAGGCCAGGCTTTGCTCCATTCCCATGAAACAAAGGCAGGTAATGACAAGCACCCTCTCTTTTCCCGTTTTTGTGGCAGGGAGAAGATGCCATTCCACCATGTGACAGCCGGCTTGTTGTACAAGGGCAATTACCTGAACCGCTCGCTCTCGGCAGGCAGCGACAGCGAGCAGCTGGCCAACATCTCCGTGGAGGAGCTGGATGGTGAGTGGGGCTCTGGGCTGGGGACGATCCTCTGCACCTTCTCTGGGTGTCCCACGCGTGGCAGGCAGGTGGGACAGCTCAGCACACCAGGGACACAGAGAACGTCCCTGACCAAAGTCATGCTCAGAGCTGCAGAGTGATTTTAGTCTCAGCTTTTGTCCTTCTGCAGCTTTTTGAAACATGAAGCCTGCATTTTATGGGCAAAATGGGAAAACTGAGGCTTTTACTGTCCCAAAGGTTTAGCCTTCCCCGGGACTCTGCTGGGCTGAGTCTGTTCTTCCCACCAAGTCTGATTTGCTTTGAGCCCTTCCTAAAGGGAGGTTCCTCTCCATGTCTCGATGTAAGGAGATGCATGGAGGTGGCTTGTGGCTTAAGAAGATGGAAAGAGCTTTAAAATTCCATTTTCCAGATCGGTGGTAGCACAGAGCAGCCTTAGTCTGGCATGGGCCATCAGGGAGGTTGTCCATGTGTGCTGCCTGGAGCATCCCATCATTTCCCCTGGAAGCTGCTGTTGTTAATCCCTTCTGCCCTGGCCCAGGATGTGTGGCCAGGTACTCCCCATCTGGTTCAGGGGAAATCCTCTCTTTTTTAGAGGATTTGTGGCTCACCAGGTAATTTCTGAGTTAAATAATTAGAGTTAATGTTGTTGACAGCTGGTCTTTGAGTATTGTGGAATTAATTGGAGCTCTTGGTTTGCTCTCCAGGGGATACTTGGTACAAGCCATGGTCAGAATCAGGGGCCTCAATGGAGAACTTTTTGAGAGATGGATCAAGAGAAGGGTGCAAGGTAGAATTGGTCCTTCCAGGACAGCCTGGAGGCATTTTGGAGAAACAAGAGGCCAACATTTCTGCCCACCCTGTCTCTTTTCTTGTGTGCTTCGGTAAATCAGACCTTAACTTCCCAGCCTTTGGATTTGGGTTTGTGAGCTTTACATGAATTTAGGTCACGTACCAACAGTGTTTTCCTCTTCCCAATGAGGGCGTGAGGACACAGCTCAGGTGAGAGACAACCTGAGAAACCACTTCAGTGCAGCTTAACTCAGACCCAGGAACCCCAGGGCTGCCAAGGTCACATTCTGGGCTTTTGTCCTTGGAGCTTGGCTGGAAGGTTTGAGTTCAACTGAGCTGCCTCAGGTTCTCCTCGTCCCAAAGATGCCAATAGTATGGCTAGGCACAGTTTTGCCTTGTCCCTGTGCAGGGTCAGGGGGTGCTGAGCACACATGAGGAAGGAAGAGATCCTGCAGCTCACTCCAAGCACAAACACGGATTTTCTGTTGTTCCTGTCCTGATTAAAGCTCAGCTGCTGTAATTGCCTGCTAGATTTGCAGAGAACTGTCAGGAGCTGCTTCAAGAAACCCCTGGCAGGGCCATGCAGGGCAGGGGATGCTTGTCCTGGGTTTGCTTCCCTGCGATTCACATGGAAATGGGCTGGGAATGGAAACTGGGCTGTGATGGAATGGAAACGGGCTGTGGTGGTGAGGATAGGGAAACTGGACTGTGCTGGTGAGAGAATGGAAATGGGCTGTGCTGGTGAGGAAGGGGAAACTGGGCTGTGCTGGGAATGGAAACGGGCTGTGCTGGTGTGGAAATGGAAATCCAGCCTCAATTCTACCTTTCCCCTGCTGTCCCTGGTCCCCGTGCGGATCCGGGAGCCCTCGGGCATCGCTTTGCCCGAGGGAGCTGCGGAAGGAGCCCAGCCCCGCCTGCCCCGGGAGAAGCCGGCGCTCCAGAACTGCGGATCGCTGTGTTAATTAACGGCAAATGAGGGAAATGAGGTGTGGAGGAGCCGCCTTTGGAGGAAGAGCAGCCGAGTGCTGCTAATGAGTCGCACTGAAGCGGGAGCGCCGGGGATCGGATCCTTCGTGCTCTCACAAAGTGCAGCGGGAGGCTGGACAGAGCTCTTCACCTCGGCATCCATTCATTCCCTGCTGTTAAACACAGCCTCGTGTCCGAATTGAGACCCGTTCTTTGCTGTACACCCCTCTTGGCAAGGGCTTTGCTCCTTTGCCAGGAGGATGTCCCCAGCTCTGGGACAGCACACCGGAGCTCCACCTCGGGGTATCCTCTTCCACCTGCAGACACAGGAATGGCACCAAATTGGTTCATGTATGAAAAGCCAGAGCAGCAGAAGAAGCTGGAGATGTTTTTCCATGTGCCAGCAGCGTTCAGCCTCTGGAATTTATATTTAAAACGAAGTCAGCAGTCTCCATCTCCCTGTGTTTTGTCTCTAACACCAGATCAGTGCCTGACTGTGCTGGTAATTGGGGAAGGTTCACTGCCCAAACCCCAAACAGAATTAGTCTTTCTGCCTTTAAGCATAAACTGTCTGAGGATGAGTAACAAAATGTTCTTCCTTGAGAAGTTAATGTCAGGCTATTGGAGCTCTGTGGATGGATCAAGCTGTGAGAGCTCGATGCCAGTAACAGATTTGCATTTCATCTTCCAGGCTGGGGAAGAGATGCCAAAATTCTCCTTGGTTTCTTTTTCAATGAGATTTTGGTCCTGAGGGAGTTCCAGCCTATTGAGAAATTCCAGTCACACAGATTAAATTATGATAGGTTTGGAGCTGGAGGAGTCACTGGGAATTTTCTGTAACGTTCCTCTGCGCTCAAGGCTCCAACAAGTGCCTGATCTGTTGGGCTCTTTCCAGCAGATCTCTTTTCATTCTGTGTCTGGCAGTGTGTGTGTCAGCACTGTTCACTTGGGAAGGGTTTCTGGGATGCTGCAGGGGATGGTGCTGCAGCCTGACCCTGCTCTCAGCTCATCCTACAGGGAATACCCAGGAGTTCTCTGTTACAGGTGGGGGCTGGACAAGAATAGGGAGATCAGGAAATGGAAGAGGGCTCTGATTTGGAGTAATGCAAGGGGGAAGGAGCCCAGGGCTTGGGGTGAACGCTCCAAGTGCTTCTCTGCCTCTTACCTGAGAGGTTATTTTCCAAATGAATTTTCAGAATCAGAGAATCCCAGAATGGTTTGGGTTGGAAGGGACCTCAAAGCCCATCCAGTGCCACCCCTGCCATGGGCAGGGACACCTCCCACTGTCCCAGGCTGCTCCAAGCCCCAGTGTCCAGCCTGGCCTTGGGCACTGCCAGGGATCCAGGGGCAGCCACAGCTGCTCTGGGCACCCTGTGCCAGGGCCTGCCCACCCTCACAAGGAACAATTCCTGCCCAATATCCCACCCATCCCTGCCCTCTGGCAGTGGGAGCCATTCCCTGTGTCCTGTCCCTCCATCCCTTGTCCCTAGTCCCTCTCCTTGTCTCCTGGAGCCCCTCTATGCCCTGGTAGGGGCTCTGAGCTCTCCCTGGAGCCTTCTCCAAGTGAACAATCCCAAATCTCTCAGCCTGTCTCCATAGGGGAGGTGGTCCTGTCCCTTTATCAACTTCATGGCCTCCTCTGGCCTTGCTCCATCAATTCCATGTCCTCCCCATGTTGAGGACACGAGAACTGTGTCCAGTTTCCCAGGTGAGGCCTCAGGAGAGCACAGGAAGTTTTTCCCTGCAAAACTTTGCTGACTTGCAGCAGCCATCTGTCATCCCTCACTCCACTCTGTTTTTTTCCATGCTGCTGCCTCCGAGCACGCTGCTGGCAGCAGGGGGAGGCTGGAGAGGAGAGGTCACTCTGCTCATGGTGTCTATTCCCAGCAGCAGCGTTTGCTATTTGTGGGGCTGGAGTAGTGTGAGGGTGTTTGGGAGCTGTCACAAAGGGAATTAACTTGCCCAGAGCTAAATCAGGAGATCCTTAAGTTTGTAACTCGGGATAAATGACAGAGCTGGAAGCGACAGCTCATCCACAACCTGGCTCTGAGGGACTGGAAGCATGGAGGGGTCTTGGGTGGATGTTACTGCCATGTGCTTGGATGTTTCTATGAAAAGATAAATGCAGGCTGGGAGGGGCTGTTTAACACGGATTTTCTGGCTCTTGTTGGTTGACATAAAATCATGACACAGTTTGTGCAGACTCTGAGCTTTCCACGTCCCTTTCAAGGCAGGTCCTGTCCTCACGTTCTGAACCATCAGGAGTATTTTTAATAAAAAATGCTGGATGGAAATAATCATGTCAAGCTTGAGTCATCCACCTCCACAGGCACTATCTAAAGGGTATTGTCAGGAGGGAAAAACATTTCCAGAGTGGGAATGTGACAAATCTCACCTGAAGAGAGGCACATGCATGACAAGCAGGCTTGGGGGAGATGCAAGTAGAGCCTTGCAGAGAAACCCAAATGTGAACCATGGCAGCAGCATTTGTCCAGGCACACATCCCAGTAAATCCTCACCTGAGCCAGGTTCTTTTGGAACCAGCAGGAGGAAATGCTGCAGGCCAGTGTTGGCATCTGGTGTCTCGCCCACGGAGCTCCTGCCTCAGGTGGGGCTGTGGTGTCTGTAGGGCTTTTTCTAGACTGGGAGAGATTTTTGGGCTTCTTGCAGTCCCTAAGGTCAAGCTCCAGGGTGGTAGTGCCAGGGTTTTGCCTGGTTGAACTGGAGGTGTGAGCAGAGAAGCCCAGGAAAAGGGAGTGCAGGGGAATACAGGGCAGGAATGTGGGCACTTCCCTCACCAGAGGCTTTTCCATCCTTATGGATTACAAACCACAGCAGATCCTGATTTCTGCTTCTTCTTCCCAGCACCTCCCCTCTGCTGCCAGCTCTCACCTGGGTCTCCCTTTTCTGGGTGTAGAAGACATCCCTGAGCAGTTCCAGAGTGCACTGGAAGCAGCTCCTGAGGGAATTGCAGGGTCCTGGTGAAGTGCAGCTCCAATGGAGCTGGGATTAGCAGCTGTCTCCTGCTGGCCAGCAATGCAGGCAGGGCCAAGGTGCTCAAGGGCTGGTGGGGCTGCAGGCCCAGGAACAGGGCAGGGTGGCAGTCGTGGGGCCAGGGACACCCTGGGGACACACAGCCGGGTAAAATGGGCCAACATCACAAACACATCTGTGCCATCCTAGCCCTGCCTCTGGAAATCAGCTCAGGTCGGGGCTGTTCACCCTCCTCTGCACGTCTGGTGACA